CCACATCTTCTCAGGTTGCCTCACACATGTGACGAATCTCTTTCTATCTCTCTCTCCACTGGCTCTCTGTCTCTCTCTCTCTCTCTCTCTCTGTCTCTCTGTACTATGTATGTCATACGCAACAAATGCACCATGCGGGGCACATGCGGGGCCCAAACAAGTGATCAACCTCTGCGGGTGTGTACTCCACGCCAGTGTAGTATCCACGATCGTCCGCGCGCCACGAAGTGAAGTGTCCTGACGTCATAGGGCGGGAAGCTGGGTGTGGGTGGTTCCCGAGAGTCGTGTGGATGTTTGGTAGAGCTTGCATTGCCCCCCCACGAAGTGGGGGTATTGGCTGGCGTCGCATGAAAACCCTGGCACTGGGGAGAACACTGAGCGTTCGGGTAAAATGATTGTTGTTGTTGTTGTTGTTGTTGTTGTTGTTGTCGTTGTCGTTGTTGTTGTTGTTGTTGATGTTGTTGTTGTTGTGGTGGTTGTTGTTTGTTGTTGTTGTTATTGATATTGTTATTGTTGTTGTTGTTGCTGCTGCTGTTGTGGTTGAGGTTGTGGTTGTTGTTGTTGTTGTTGCTGTTGTTGTTGTTGTTGTTGTTGTTGTTGTTGTTGAATATTATTCCTTCTAAAGAATTATTATTGTTGGGACCCCTGGTGCGCGACCTCTGCGCCGCGCCTAGGCCGCAGCTACATTTTCATCATTTTTTCGCGAAAGCTTCAGAAAAGTGGATTGTGTCCGGATCCGGTTGTTTTGTTGACCCCGTTTTCCCTTGCAAAAAACAATAGAAAATGAAAATTCTTGTTCTTACTTGATCAAATTGCAAGAATCCCTTGCAAAAAATAAGGTAAAGTGGACATTCGTGCGCGCAAGACGAAATCCTTCCAAAACCTTAGGTTTCGTAGCGATTTTAACATAAAAACATCAAAAACCCAATGGTTTTTTAAGAAAAAATTGTCAAAATGTCCTTCCGCGCGCGCTGTCCGAATCCCACAAAACCAATGGTTTTTCAACATTTATGTTACATGAGCTCGCGCGAGCTACTTTTTCTTGTTCTAACATAATCAAATTTCAATAATCCCTTGCAAAAAATAAGGTAAAGTGGACATTCGCGCGCGCAAGACGAAATCCTTCCAGAACCTTAGGTTTCGTAACGATTTCAACATAAAAACATCAAAAACCCACTGGTTTTTCAAAAAAAAATGTCCAAATTTCATTCCGCGCGCGCTGTCCGACTCTGGTTTTTCAACATTTATGTTACATGAGCTCGCGCGAGCTACTTTTTCTTGTTCTAACATAATCAAATTTCAATACTCCCTTGCAAAAAAAAAGTAAAGTGGACATTCGCGCGCGCAAGACCAACAAAAAACACGACGATCTCAGGAACTTGCCCCAAAAATGTGACCAACTCCGCTCTCTCTGTCTCTCTCTCTGTCTGCTCTCTGTCTCTCTCTCTGTCTGTCTGTGTCATGTATTGTATGTCACAATTGCAGGATGCTGGGCACACGCGCGCCCCGAATAAGTGACCAAGTTCTGTGGGTGTGTACCCCACGCCAGTGTAGTAGCCACGGTCGTCCGCACGCCACGAAGTGAAGTGTCCCAACGTCATAGGGCGGGAAGCTGGGTTTGGGTGGTCGCGAAGAGTCGTTTGGATATTTGGTAGAGCTTGAACTGCCCCCCCACGAAGTGGGGGTATTGTCTCGCGTCGCATGAAAACCCTGGCACTGGTGAGAACACTGAGCGTTCGGGTAAAATGATTGTTGTTGTTGTTGTTGTTGTTTTTGTGTGTGTGGCCATGTTCTTGTTATTCAATCGCTTCGCTCACTCCGCCGGCCCGTATTGCATGATCGCTACTGCTTCGGCGCGGGCTCGGGGCCATTTCGGCGCCGCCGGAAGGAGGAAGATGAGGATGGGGAGGGGGAGGGGAGGAGGAGAAGAGGATGAGAAGGAACGGAGGAGGATGCAGATAAATATGAGGAGCAGGAGGAAGAGAAAAGGGCGGAGGAGGAAGCCTCTCGATGACATCTTGCGGCGCCGTTGGGGCCACACAGGGCCGTTGTCCAGATGCTTCTTTGGGAGGCCCTGGGGTCTGTTGAGAGGCCGTTCGGGGGCGCCCGGGAGACATTTTTGAGGCCTTGTAGGGCCTCTTTTGAGCCTCCTTGGAGCCTCCTGGGGTCTCTTGGGGGCCTCTCGGGGGCCCTCTTGGGCCATCTTGGGGGCCTCTCGGGGCCTCCTGGGGCCCTCTTGGGCGGAAGGCTCGAGGTGTCGGTTCGTGGTCCCCATCTTGGGCCCCTTTTGGGGCCGTCTTAGGGCTCTCTTGGGCCGTCTTGGGCGTCTCTTGGGCCGTCTCGGGGCCCGTTTGGGCTCTCTGGGGGCCTTCTTGGGGGCCTCTTGAGCCGTCTTCGTGCGCTCTTTGGGGCCTCAAGGGCCGTCTTGGAGCATCGGAAAGCCGAAAATGCGACAAGGCCAAAATCCTTCCAAAACCATCGTAAAACTGATGATTTTGGCGTCTCGGGGCGCTCTTGTGAGGCCTCTTGGAGGCCACTTGGAGCGTCTTGGCGGCTTCTTGGGCCGTCTTGGGATCATCTTCGGCGTCTTGGAGCGTCCTTTGGGCATCTCGGGGGCCTCTTGGGCAGTCTTGGGGGCATCTTGGGGTCCTCTTGGCGCGCTCTGGGGGGCCTGAGAGGCCGTACCCAGGAGGAAAACCATCTCTGAATAGACCTTCCCGGGACCTTCCCGGGCTGCGGTCGGAGTACTTTTCGCCGGGGGACCCCCAGGGGCCGCCCCGCGCGCCCGAACTATAAGAATTGTGAACCAGTTGCCGGAGATCTTAGCACGCCTCTGGCCCGTTGGGCCGGCGAATTCTCTCCTCTGGCGACCGGTGTTCTTTTTGTTTGTGTGTTGTGTGTGCGTGTTGTGTGTGTGTGTGTGTGTGTGTTTTTGTGTTGCGTGTATTGCTTGTGCTGCCTGTGTTGTTGTTGTTTGCTTTGTTGGCGCTGGGTTTTTTGTGTGACAGCCGGGGGCAGCCCGCAGCCCGGGCTCTGGGGGGCGCGGGGTGCGGCGTGCAGGCGGGGGCCTGCCAGGGCGCCGGGGGTCCTGCAGGATACCGTCGGGGCGCCGAAGAAGGAGCCCTTTTCGTTTGGGAGGGGCCCAGTGCTCCGTAGTTGTCGGGGCTGGACAGAGCCCCCAACAGTGGCACGTCGATTAGTGAACTGTCCGTCTTCGGTTCTCGAGAGGGCGCCGCGACCGTCATTTTCCAGGCTTGCGCCCGCCAGGTTTGGGCCTCAGGTCGTTTCTACTAAACCACGTTTTACTCAAGGGAGGTCTGTCCATCCCCGAAGTTGTTTTGCAGCTCGCCTTAGGTTTTCCTTGGGTCTTCGATCGGAATTCGAGGCTTAACTTCTGGAAAGGAGGGGCCTCGTTCCTCATCTGGGGTTCCTCAGGTCAACGCCCCGACTCTATCCAGCGGGGCTAGAGGGCTGCACTGATGGCCCAGCCTTGCGCGCAGGTTCCTAACATGTCATGGCGCCCACATCGCAGAGCGGATTGCGGTCGGAAAACCATGGGGTGGGCCCGGGAGTGTCCTGGATCATTTCGCTCCAGATTTCGAGGTGAATTTCGTGCGGATTTTTCTTTGGTCAGGAATGAAGACCAACAGAAAAATCCAAGTGAAATTCGCGTCGTTTTTCGCTCGCCGCTTCGGGTAAAATCCACGCAGAAGTCCACGCAGAAGTCCGCTGCAGCACGTCCGCCGGTGCAAGGAGACATGGCCCGGGCCTGCACGGACCGGGGTGTCCTTGCGTCCCCGACCGACCTGTGCCGCTGCCTCAACCTCGCCCTCCTCTGACGTAATGGTGCGCTTCGTGGCCCCGGCCGGGAGCCAGGCCACAGCCCTGACACGCTGCCGCGTGGCGGCGCCTCGCGTCGGCACGCTCCTCCCGCGCGCTGCGCGGCCGCCCTCCCCGCCCTGGGCCCGGGCTGGCCCTGGCCACCCTCGACCAGCACCTTCCGAAACCCTCCTCGCGCGGCAGGTGCCGCGCTGCCGCGGCCGCCGCCGCGGCCGCAGGCGGCGGCCACCGTCGACGCCGCAGCGGCGGCGGCGGCGGCCGCGGCTCCGCACCCAGGCCCCCGACGTCACGATTTGTTCATGACGCGACCCCCAGAGGTCCAGACACATTCCCCGGGGCCGGTGTTCCATCCCGAGTCGTTTTGTTGACGGCCCCGAGGCCCAGGGAGGGCCCCCAGGAGGCCGAGCGAAGCGAACAGCTTCCCGTCGGGATTTTGTTCGTGGCTCGCGGGGGGGTCTGGGCAGGGCGGTCTCCGGGGGGGCTTCTTTGCGGCGTGCCCGGGGCGGCGTGGGCGGGGCGCGCCGCGCCCGCGGGGGAGGCGCGGGGGGGCATGGGGGCGCCAGAGGAGGGCCGGCCGAGGCGACGGGTCGCCTCTTGTCAAGGGAGGAGAAGCCACCCGGGCCCGATATCGGGCCCAGGGCCACTCAGCACACGCCAACATCATATGATGTTGGCGTCTGCTGAGCGGCCCTGGGCGTGTTTTTGAACCGCCTTGCTCTGCGGGTGCGTTCGCTGGACGACTTCGCGTGCCTTGGGTGGCTCTTGTGGGCGTGGATGTTCTGCGCTCTATTCTGGGCCTCGGGGGTCTCCCTCGTCGGCGCGGCCGGGCGCAGCTATCGGGAAGCGGGTGCGCCTGGACCCCGTGAGGTGTCCAGGGCCAGGGGCCGACTTCGAGCGGATGCGGGCCGCCGTTGTCTCAACTGGCCCTTCTCCGAGAGCGGTGCCGCGGTATCAATTCGACTCCGCATGGCCTCTCCTTCTGCGTCCCTCCCCCCTAGCCACGTGTCTCCTCCTCCTCAGTCTTCAATGCCTTCCTCACCGATTCCTCGTCGCCATCCTTCCCCACCCCTCCTTCCTTCGCTCCTCATCCTTCGTTTTTGTCTTCCATCCTCCTTCCTGCCTTCCCGTCTGCCTCGTGCCAGCTCCTGGGGGCCGCGCAGGACCGGGGCGAACTCGTCATCGACACGTTCGAGAGGCTGCTGCAGAGCAAGCTGACGAAGATTGCGAACTACGTCGAGGTCCTCCACGGGAGGGAGGGGGGCGAGGGCCCAGGGGCCCAGACCACCTTGTCGATGCTGAGCACGGCTCATGGGCCCCAGGGCCGCGAACCAACGTCGGCCAAGGACGAAACACCGGCCCGGGGGGGATGTGTGTCGAGTGTTCTGGGACTCCACCGTCGACGGGTTGAATAATGCACGACGTCAGAGGTCTGCGGGGGGGAGGCTGAAGAAGGAGCAGGGGGGTGTCAGAAGGGCTCGGCAGCAAATCATGGGAGCCTGCTATACCCTGTTACTTTTGTCTCTAACGTCGACTAGCGTCTGGGAGCTGATGAGATATGCCGGTTTAGCGTCGATTAGCATCGATTTGGTGTCGATTAGCATCGATGTAGCGTCGATTCGCAAAATCCGACAAGATGGTATGGGAGGCTCCCAAGAGTTGCCACCGAAGATTTGGGAGCGTTTTGCTATTCGTGGGCTCCTGGTTCGCTCCGGAATTCTCCCGCAGCGCACTTTAGGAGAGGAGCATCTGAGCATCTCCGAGCATCTGCTGTATGGAGCCCAGACTTCCGAACGATGAATTGTATGTCGGGCGTCCAGCGCCCAGCCCTGCCGATCCCTTCCACGGGGCCAGTTCTTCATCCCGAATCGTCTTTTGATGAACCCGGTGCCCGCAAGCGGCCTTCGGAGGCAGCATGGTGCGACGAGGGGTCACTCGTCCGGAAGAGCGGCTGAGGCAAGGAGGAGCATGGAGAGGAGAGGGACGAGACCTTCCAGTACGCTCTCCCTGCCTCTCCCCCCCTTCGTCCTCATGACCCTCGGGAGCCTCAGGCTGCTCCCCGTCCTCCCCCTCCTCCCCCTCCTCCTCCTCCTCCTCCTCCGCGTCCTCCTCCTCCTCCTCCTCCTCCTCCCTTCCTCCTCCTTGCTCCTTCGGAGGCGAGCGGAAACCGGACTCCCCCCCGGGGCCCAGGGGGGCCTCCCGCGGCTCCCGCCCGCGGCGCGCAGCGAATGCGCGCGCTTCGCGGAGGTGCGGCGGCCAGGGCGAGGGGCGGTGCAGCCACGCGCAGAAGTGGGTACCGAACAGACTTCGCAGGTATTGCGGCTGAGGCGGGAGGAGGCAACCTTGGAGAGACGAAGAGCGCTGGCCGCCCATGGAGAGCTCCTCGCCAGACTCACGAAACGTGCACAAAGGGTGATCAGATGGAGAGGTGAGCCCAAAGGTACCAGATGACGTTACGTCCCAACGTTCTGGATCTCGGCTGTGCTTCGCAAGGTTGAGTCGGGCCTGTCCCTCTACGGGAAAAAGTAGCCGGGAAACTACTATTCTTTGTATGCTTGAGCATGTTGTTGGTGTATGGCCTGACTCTTTTTCAGCTTTCGTCCGAAATCCGCCGGTAGGGGGACACGCCCGACCTACGGGTAGGGGGGGGAGTCTTCTTAGACGTGCCCCTGCTTCTTAGAAGGCGGGGGCCTCGTCTGTAGATGAAAAGGGCGGGCGCCTTGTAAGAAGCAGCCTCCTTCCAAAAAGCCTTCCCCCCTTCCCCTACCCCCTTGTGCGCGCCGCCAATCTGCTTCGCAACGCCATAAACAAAAAGTCGTCCCCTCTCTTCCCCTTCGCCCTCCCTCCCCTCCTCCCGCCCCCTCGCCGGAGCACGCCCTGGCCAGGCGGAATGCCAGCAAACAGCTCTGACGAGGACGTCGCTCCCATCTTCCCTTCTCCCTCCCCTATACCCATCGGTCGCTGAGAGTAGGTATTTCTGGATTCCCAGAACCCAATCTACTTCAAGCGCCTTCCTATTTCAAGAATCGATCTGGCTTTGCTGTTGCTTGCTACTCTTTGGGCGGGCCCGAACCCATTCTACTTAATCCGCCTTCCTACTTCATGCTTCGACCTACTTCTTCCGACCGGCGTGTAGCGGCGCCCCCCCCCTCTCCAGACTCCCCGAGCATGGAGGATCGATGGCTCTGAGACGTCTCTGGCCCTCGTGAGGCGGGTCTCTGGAGGCGCCTCCCGAACCTCCGGATGCCTCCAGGGAGACCTGCGGCTACCTCCGAGACCCAGACCGTGCCCCTCTATGTGAGAAGGAAGATGAACGAGGTGAGAGGAGGAGAAGGAGGAGGAGGAGGAGGAGGAGGAGGAGGAGGTGGAGGAGGAGGGGGAGCAGGAGGGTCGGGTCTGGCGAAAGGGGGGGATTGGGAAAGGGGGGGTTACGAAATTTGCTGCATGCAGCTGATTTCGGCCTCACCGAGGGGCCCATTCCTCGATACATGGGCGCCTCCCGGCGCCGGGAGGCGCCGGGAAAATCAGCTACGTGAGCTGATTCTCAAACCCCCCCTTTGCTATCACCCCCTTTCGCCCGGCCCGAGAGGGAGGATGAAGAGGAGGATGAGGGTGCAGAGTGAGCGGGGAGAAGGAGTAATAAGGAGTAGGCGGTAGGGAAAAGGAGCCAGGAGAACAGGGAGGGGGACGAGGCGGGTGGAGTGCGGAGGAGGGCGGAGGGCGGGAGTGGACGAGGCGGCTGAGGCGGAGGAGAAGGACGTGGAGGACAGGAGGACAGGAGGGAGAGGAGGAGCGAGGATTCACCTCTGAGGTCATCAAGACCGAGCGGGAAACTGAGACGAAGGAGTCGAAGGAGTTCGGCATCAACACGAAATACCTCCGCAACATTGTCCATGCCAGGCTGAACGACGACATCGAGCTCGACGACATCAGGATCTCCATCCACCCTCCTTCGAGCCCCGCAGCCTTCTGTTTTTCTCCCTCGTCCTCTTCCCCATCCCGCCTCTGGCTATATTTCCAGAGACAAGGGGAGGAGGAGCTATAACAGACCAGCGCAGGGCCTCGTGATGTCCAGGGGGGTTGCTCCTGGCCCAGGGTCTCGGAGCCAGGGAGGCCAGGACAGCGCAAGCCCAGGAGTCATGCTCCAGGGTAGAGTCGGAGTAGATAGGGTCGGAGTAGATGGATAGGGTCGGAGGATCGCGCCGCGTCGCCGAGGCATCGGCGATGCGGCTCGAGGTGGAGCCCGATTTCCTCCACGACGACGGCGCCGATGGATCGGAGAGGCGTCGGCGATGCGGCGCGATCCACCGACCCCATCGACTCGGATCCCATGTGGGAGGTCTCAACATGCGAGGTCGGGAGAGCCTGGAGAATGTGAGGCTGTTTCGACCGCGGCTTCAGCCTCGCCGGAGCTGCGAACATGTCCTGGGTTCCACGTCGCGGCCAGCGTTTTAGCCACACCCTAAGTGGGTGTCTTGTTGTCTCTGGACAACCGGCGCATGAACAGGAACAGGAACCCATCATTCTCACCATCATCATCATCATCATCATCATCATCATCATCATCATCATCATCATCATCATCATCATCATCATCATCATCATCAGCATCAGCATCAGCATAAGCATCATCAAAATCATCATCATCAGCAGCATCATCATCATCATCATCATCATCATCATCATCATCACCATCATCATCATCATCATCATCATCATCATCATCATCATCATCATCATCATCATCATCATCGTCCGTAGCCATTTTGGCTCAAGGAGCCACGCCGGTGTGGCAGCGGTTTCCCCGTCCGAATTTCGCGCTGCTCGGGTTATTTCCTCCTCAGCTGGCCCGTTCGAGCCCCGCGCTGTTCGGGCATTCGTGGCAGTCGCGGCGCTGGACGCTGCTGTCGCCCTGGGGCCGCTTGGTTCGAGCGGCAGCCGAAGGCGCGGCAGCGGGGGGCGCTGCGAGGCACGGCATCGCGGCCGCCGTGACCGCTGCCGCCGTGACCGCCGCGGCGCGCGTCGGTGCTGAGCTGATCGGGGGCTGGGCTGCAGATGGAGCTGGCGATGACGAGGACGCCGAGCTCGCCCTGCGGCTTCGGGCCATCAGGTCAGCCCTGGCGCGCCTGATCCGCGGCGAGAGGGCTTCGGGCGCCGAGCGGGCGACTCGGAACCTCGGGGCCCGCGCCTTCCTCGGTGAAGGCGCCGAGGTCCTCGAGGCCGCGCTCGAGCGGCCGCAGGCCAACCAACGCCGTGGGCGGTCTGGCGCCCTCGCCCCAACGGATCGGGGGGCTCTCAGCCGTCCTGGCCCTGAGGCGGGATGGCGACCCAGCCTGGAGGCGAGGCGCCGCAGCATGGCGCCGCCCACAAACGAGTGCGGCTACAACGGCGATGCGAAGAACGACGATGACGGTCACCAGCAGCACGTGGACGAGCAGCTGCACGTGCAGCTGCAAAACCAGTACGAGATCAAGTACGGCGTCGGCGACGACGAGCTCGAAGGCTACGACAGCGATCGCGGGCCCGATGAGGTCAGGTTCGGGTCCAAGCCCGAGTTCGGCGAGTGCGCTGGCGACGGAGCGCAGGACGATGACGCCTGCACGGGCGAGGACGGTCTCGGCTCGGGCGGGGTGCAGGCGCCCCTCGGCACCCAGCACGACGAGCCGAGCGATGTGCAGGACGAGGGCGAGTACGAGGAGTGTACGGACGCGAACCTGGGCGCCGGCGTTGGCGCGGCGTCGAGCCCCGCCAAACCAGCGTCGGTCAGGCGGCGGCAGAGGCGCGGCCGTCGGCCCACGCGGGAAGGACCGACAGCGTCGGCCGCCGTACCGGCGAGCGCACGGGCACCCGAGGCGACGGAGGCAGCCGAGCCCGCCAAGTGCACAGCATGGAGAACGGCTGCGCGACGGGGGAGGGCCGCGACCCGCGGCGCTGCCTTCGTCCTGGCGGATCGTGCGCGGTCGGCGCCTGAGGCGGTTCCTCCACCCCTCGCCTCTGGCGCGCAGTGGTGGCAGTGGGCGCTCGAGGAGCTCGGGCGGGATGGCGGCCCGAAGGCACCCAGCGCCTGCCCACCGACCACGGCGGCGAAGGGGGTGGAGTGCGAGAGGGACTCGGCCGATGATGGTGAGGCTGCAGATGATTGGCCTCTTGGCAGCGACCCGTCAGAGTACGCTGTCAAGCACGACTGGCGCATGCAGCCAGGTGTTGCGCAGCAGGACCTCCGGGAGAAGGTCGGGATCGGCTCCGCGGGCCCCGCGAGGGAGGTGCAATTCGAGGTGGAGTGCACGCGGGCGGACTCCCAGCGGGTCCAGGGGCACGAGTCGGAGGCCCAGGACATGGCTGCATCGGAGCCCGCTCTCGCTGAGACGCCGATGCGCGTGGGCACCCGGGCTGTCTCCGAGCCGCAGTCCGACGTCAACCAGCAGCGCGACTCCGAGCAGCCCGAGGAGCAGCAGCAGTTCCCTTCGGAGCGGGCGGGGCTCGTGGCGCTGCGGGCCAGATACAACGGGCTGATGGCTGGGGTTTGCGCCGCCTTTGGGCGCCATGCTGCGCGCGGCCCGCGAGGCGCGCGGCAGGCGCTGGCGGGCGCGATCTGCCCCGGCAACTTTCTCGCATTTCTCCTGCCGCGCTCGCGCGGCATCTGCCTTAATGCAGTTGTGGCGCTCTGCGGCTTGGGACCCATAGGTCTGCCGAGCGCGGTGCCGCGCGCTCGTGGCGCCAGGCAGGATCGAGGGTCGCGAATGCCTGCGACGAGCGTGCGAGCTCCGAGGGGAGAGGGGCCCCATGGCGTAGGCCGTACCCCTCGGGTCTCGGCGCGCGTCAGGGTTCATTGGCTCCTGCCCCTCCTGGGCTCGCTGCGCTGCTCTGCCCGTGCCGTTTGGCGCGTCAAGTGGCGCTTGCGTTCTGCAGCTTTGCTGCGTGCCAGCCCGCAATTCGTGTGCGCTGTTCTCGCGCCAGGGCGCAGGCCGAACCGAGGGGGTAGGTGGCTTGCTACCGACTCTCTGGATCGCCTCCGAAGGCAATCGCAGAGCAAGTTTGTCCAGTGGGCGGCCAGTGGCCTTGGGGACTGCGTTGCTTTGCTTTGGCGCGCGCGTGCTGCTGTAGCGGGCTGAGTCGCCGTGACTGCTCGGATGCCGTACTACCGCTTGCTTTTGGCTGGGGCGGCGGGCGGCCTCTTGGCACTCAGGTGAATCTGCGAGGGTGCGCTGAGGCGCGCGAGACCGAGCGTTGCCGCCGCAGGGCCAGAGGGGAACGCATCGGTCCGAGGGGCAGTACAAGCTAGGAGCTCCTGACCTCCTTTAGACGCGTGGATCATCATCATCATCGCCATCCTCATCATCCAGGGGACCAGCATGATCATCATCGTCATCGTCATCACCATTACCACAGTCATCATCAGCAACATCAGCACCACAATCGTCAGCATCCGCATCAGCATCAGCATCAGCATCCGCATCATCACCACCACCATCATCACCATCACCCTCACTCTTTGTCAGCCACGCGCTCACACACTCACGCATTCACGCGCATCATCATCAGCTTCTCCATCATCACCCAGTCCAGCACTCACTTACCCACTCACCATCATCATCGTCATCATCATCACCATCACCATCGATCCCACTCCCGCACTCGTTTACACTAACACACAATACGCATGTACAAGCTCACGCAGCCACGCACTCATGCATTGATCTTGAGGAAGTCTAAGGCGGGAGCCTCGTCTGTCAGTGAATTTTGAGGAAGGCTCATGCGGGCCCCCCTTCATGATGGAACTCGCATTTCATGTTGGTAATCCGAGCGGGTCGTCCAAATCCTGTAACTGTCGTTTTTTTATTGGGGGCCCATCGCGCCTGAATCCTGCAGAAGCCTCAGGCGGGACCTCGCCTCCGTATGGGGCCCGTATTTCACGTTGGTAATCCGAGCGGGTCGACCAGATCTTGTAACCGCTCTCACTTTTGGGCTCCTCACGCCTGAATCTGGAAGAAGTTTTGCGCGGGGGCCTCATGTGTGAGTGATTCGCGAGGAAGTCTCATGCGGGGGCTCCCTCTCCGAGGGGCTGGCGCTGCATATCAGTAGTCCGAGCGGGCCATGCAACCCTAGACCTGTCGCCAATTTTGGGTTCCCCAGCCAGGCTTGAATCTTGAGGAATTCTCCGGCGGGCGCCTCGTCTGTTAGCGAGTCGCGAGGAAGTCTTGAGCAGGGGCCCCCTCGCTATGCGGCCCGCAGCTCCATGTCAGAATCTGGGCCAGTTTTCGGGATCTCGTAGCTGTCGTCGCTGTTGGGCCCCTCAAGAACACAGGGTGATGCGAGCCCTCGAAGCCAATCCGAGCGGAGCCATTTTTGTGCTCTTAAGAGGCCCCCTCGCTCGACTCATCAGATGGGGAGAAAGGGGGGGGGGGGGGGGCAGAAATAGAGGTGGACAACGGCGGCCGGGCGCAGGGGGGATCCCTTGCGTCCTGGACGGGGGCGGTGACCATCCTCGGCCGAAGCGGGCGCGCGGGGAAACCCTGCGTCCGGGCTGGCGGTGGCAACCCATCGTCAGCCAAATTGGGGGCAGGGGGGGCCCTTGTTTCCAGGCTGGCGGTGTAACCCATTGTCAGCCTGATCGGGCGCAAGGCGTGCTCCTCGTCCCCTTGCAGGCCGTAGACGAGTGCAGCGCGATTCAAGGTGACCCAGACGCGGTCCGGCGCCTCCTGAACGCCCCAAACATGCACATGACGGGGGACATCCACGGCGCCTTAGCGGCACGCGTCGGCATGGAAGTTCGGTTCACGGCCGCGCAGGAGGAGCTGGGGAAGAATCTGGGATTCGTGCAAGAGCAACGGACCACCTCCGGTTCTTCTGAGTTTTTGCCACACGACGAGCGGGAGTACGAGGGGTGCGCGCCGGGCCAGCTCTTTCGCCCCTACTACCTACCGCAGGGAATCTGGCTGCATGTTCACGGCTTCAAGGAGTCCCCGATCTACCAGAAGGGCGCTGAGGTGCTGCTACAGGGCGCCGAAGGCGCTGACCACGCTGGCGAGGCCGAGGCGCGGGCGAGGAGCTCGCTGATGTTCAGGCCCTGCGAGCAGGAGCTCACCCGGCAGAGCTCGGGGCCGCACGTCGCGCGCCGCTCGGAGTTCACCCCGACGCGCGCGTCGTGCTTGACCTCCGCGCTGTCTCAGGGCCAGACGCCGCGCAAGGGCGCCACCGTCGACTGCGCCAGGGATGAAGGACGCTGGTCGCGCGGGCATGTTGGACGAGCAGCGGTGGCTACACCTATTCGTCATGTTTTCCCGCGCCACGCGCGTGCGGGACGCGCTGATCCTGCGGCCGCCCGCGCGAGCGTTCCTGGAGCGCGGGCCGCTGGCGCCCCCGCGGCAGGCGCCGTGGAAGTTCGACGAGATAGCGGAGAGCTCCAGGACCGGGGCAGAGCAGCTCGCAGCGCGGCTGGGCTTCGCGCTGCCCCCCGCCCGAGCTCGGCCCAGCTCGCCTCGAGGCCCGCGGGGCTGCCCCGGCGGCCTGGCCCGCGGGTTTGTTCCGACGGCCCGCCCCCGCGCCCCAGCGTCCCGCGGGGTTGCCCCAACGTCGTGGCCCGCGGGATTGCCTATTATGCTGCGCGATCTAGCCGTCGGCGACGCGCGCGCGCTGGCCGAGGCGGCGACGGCTCCGAGGAACATCCACTTGCTTGCCCCGGCCAGGGGGATGGGGAGGTGCACGCGAAGATGAAGCCAAAGGAGGATGAGGAGGGGGGAAGAGGCAATGGGAATGCGATGATGAGGAGGTTCAGGAGGAGGAGGAGGAGGAGGAGGAGGAGGAGGAGGAGGAGGAGGAGGAGGAGGAGGAGGAGGAAAAGGAGGATGTGGAGGATCCATGAAAGGAGGGAAAGGAGAAGAGGGCAGATCAGAGGGCGAGAGGAGGGTGTCCGCCAGGGCGAGGAGGAAAGGGCTGGGCGAGCTAAACCGATTTTCGGGTGGGGTCCTACCGTCGGCCCCTCCGCCGCCTCCTGGGTTTGTTGGTCTTGCAGCAAACAATCACTCGTACTGCGGGCCCTCGTGTCGGTTCCTTGCCCGCCGCTCCGCGGTTTGTGGTTTGTTCGAGAACCGAGGTTCTACTCCAGCCGACGCCCGGGCAAAATGGAGGCTCTCTCTGTTTTTTGGGGGGGGTCGCTCGGACAGCACGGTTCTCCCACGCGTGCAGCGCCGCCCAAGCCCGCCCGCGGATGGGGCCGACAGGCGGCGTTCCTCCTCGCAGAGCCCTCGCAAAAGGCCACGCCATGGGTGGGCAGGCCCGGTCCTTGCCAGTTGAGCATGCGGTTCCCTGGGAGTTCTTTCAGGGGCAACGTCCGCTTGGGATGCGGTCGCCGATATTTGTTCAGCGTGTCGCGTGGACGGCTGGAATCGACGACGTGGTTAGCATGTCGCGCCGAGGCGTGGTGGACCAGAACTGGCGCCGCGACGCGCCACACGAAAATTCCCAGCCGTATGCTCAGGGAGTGATGTGTCGACCACCGAATGCCAATTCATCGCCAATGGGGACCCGATGGCCCACACCGCCCAGGAACGAGCGGCTTCGCTATTGGGGGCCAGTCGCAAACCCATCGGCGATGCGTCGGTGGTTCCAGCTCGACGCGTCCCCCCCCCAGAACGCTCCCCTCGAGCACGCGGCCCCCTGCTCCCCCCTTGGGGGTCCCGGGCGAGGTATCTCCAGGCTGCCTCCCCCCCTCCCCCTCCCAGCCGCAGGATTTAACGTTTTACGAGCAAACAGCTGTGCGGGGCCTCTGCCAGGGGCAACGATACACGGCGGGGGGGCAGTCACAGGAGAGGGAGCCTCGACCCCCAATCGCCCACTGATCGGGGAGGGAGCCTCGACTCCCAATCGCCCATTGCTCGCCGATACGGGTTTGATAGCCCCAGCCCGTCCAGGAGCGTGCGGATTGAATATCGGGGGCCTATCGCCGATCGATCGGCGATGCATCGCCGATTCCAGGTCGATGTTTCCCTGCCTAGCGGGGCAAATGAACAGCTGTGCGGGGCCTCTGGGGTCCCCCTCGCGGGCCCCATGGCCGTCACAAGCGACGTCCGTCGGGACTTCGGGGCCCCCGCGTGGAAAAGTCGAGGCGTCAAAGCTTTGGGCATGGAGCTTTCCGTCGCCGGCCGCCGGGCACCGAGGCTCGAGAATCGAGGTAATTATCTGGGCGTTTCCCCGGCGGTCAGGGGGGGGGGGTTCGAATGGGGGTCCTGGGTGGTGCCTGGGGGCGGAGCTAGAGGGCGCACAGGCCCCACGGAGGGGGCGATCGCGCAGATCTGCAGGCCCTGGACCGGAGGCAGCACCTGGAGAGGTGCGCCTGATCCGGGGGGGGGCTCTCTGGGGGCAGGGCGAGCTGCGCGGAGAAGGCAGGCGGAGGTGCGCAGGTCGCACGCACGGGCGCGCGAAGCCAGCCGCGCCGCCTCGTGCGCTGCGCTCTTCAGGGGCTCCGGCCCTGTCTGCTGTTGGGGGCGGGGGGGGGGCGGCGTTGAGAAGTCGAGCAGTCTTCGAGCTCTCCCGCCTCCTCCTCCTCCCCCTCCCCTCTGCCTCCTCCCCCTCCTCCTCCCCCTCCTCCCCCACCCCCTCCTCCTCCTCGTCCTCCTCCTCCTCCTCCTCCTCCTCCTCCTCCTCCTCCTCCTCCTCCTCCTCCTGGATCAGGGGCAACGTTTGCGGGCGATCTGGTCGGGAAGGGGATGCACCGACTGCCGATCGCCCATGGATCGCCGATGGGGGATCGGGCGGCCCACCCCGCCCAGGAGCGTGCGGTCTCGCCATCGGGG